ATGTTAGTGTGAATTGGCAAGGGTGAGGAAGGAGGTCCTCCCTGTCCTGGAATCACTGAGGTTTTGGATTGCCTCTGTGAAAGTCTGCTGAACACTCAAGTTGCTGCAGTGAGTTGTGGGGGGTCATACAGCTTTTAAGGTGCTTTGCTCAGCCAGTTATTCAGCTTCATCCTGAGACAGCACCTGGTGGAGGAAGGAAGGCTGGGGAGAGAGGAGGGTAAGGAGCTATTGTGTGTGCATTCCCTCTCTGCCACTCATTTGTACTGGCATGCCATTGCTTCTGTGCCTGCATTGTACTGGGACTGGAATCCAAATTGACACACAAAAATCACGTGGCTGCAAAAGAACTGGCACAAGAAAAAGTGGGAATGTACAGACTGAGCTATTGTTGAAGCCTGGATTTGAGTCAGTTTTGGATCCGTCTGTGCTCTCACAAATCTGCATCCTGGGGACGCAGTTCTGTGACAGTATGGACTGACCTGAGTCAGTTTTGACACAGTCTTAGAGCTGCTATTAATCCACGTCCACTTCCGCATTGAGCTTATTCTGAGAACTGTCTGAAAGGAGGTTAAAAAAGAAACAACCCACACACAGAAATTATTTTTTTCTTCTCCTGGTAGTATAATTTACTGAAACGGTTCATCCCAGGGGCAAAGAAAGTCGAAAGTGGCTGTGAAATCAGGTAGCTAAAATAAGTACCTGCAGGGATGAGACTGAAGTGGCCCTTCCTAAGTAAGCTTTATCCTGTTGAGGAATTGCAGCCTCAACTCTAGAATCTCTAAAGTCCTGTGGGACCACCTGACCTTTCTGTAAGATACAATTTTGACTACAAAGATTATGGGAAAGTAAACTCCCCAGTAATTTCCTTTTTTTGTCGCCTTCTGTGGTTGCAAAGATCTCTCTCTGTTCTATGTCCGATTTTGCTGAGTTTTAGTATCATCAATAATAATGTATAGTGTAACGTACAACATTAGGTTTCTGCTTAAAGTGATGCTGACCATTGCTTTCACACCATTTGTGAGCCAGAAGCATTGTGTGTCTCCCTTTCCATTGTGGCTTAATGGCACTTATCTGAGCTGTCAAAACCAGTAACCAAAATAAGATTTGAGGCTGTTACAAATAACTCTTTAAAGCTGTGTGAGTTTTCAGCTTTGGTTTTGCAGTCTTTGATATTCTTACAAACTTGAATACTTTTTAGGAGTGGGTGTGGGGTTTTTTGTTATCCAGATGTGTTGTAGTGAATTCGTATATAGCCTGGTGACCCTGTAGATGAATTAGTTGCATAGTTTTTCTCTGTGTCCCAAATTCAAAGATCATGTGCTTTTTTTATAGCTATAGTAGTGAAATACATACCTTTTCTCTTGTTATCATTGATTTGTCCAGAAAAGCCAAAGTTGTGGTTATTAGGTCTTTCTGGTTTTATGTCCGGTACTTGCTTTAGGCCACTGTCTTGTTGAGGAAGACTTTTTTGCAATAACCCAGCCAGAAACAAACCAAACCAAAACTGATTTAGATGTTTGGTTCTTAAAAAAAAAACCCCAAAAAACCAACAAATAGCCAACATTCTCCCACCCCCCAAAAAAAGATCAAGCAAACAAAACTCAGACCCCCAGGAAAAACATGTTCTAGAAGGAGACCCTTTGACTGCCTGTGTACTGAAGACCATGAGAAAAGTGAGGATGACCCTGCCTGTTAGAAAACCTCCTGATCCTGGTGTCTTTGTTCTGGAGAGGGATGAACAAAATCCACTGCCTCTGTTTAGAAGCTGTCTCTGTCCCTTAAGTAGTAAATATTTATACGCAAAAAACCTGTGTTATGGAAAACTAAAATGATGCTTGAGTTTCTTATAGTTGCTGATGTATGTGTTTGTATGTTTTAGGGATTTATGGTTTTGGGTTTTATGCAGCTTTTTTTACCCCTCTCTCCTGAATTGATAGATTTCACAGATGACAGCCTAAAACCTGGGAGCCTCAGACAGCTTTTGATAGCCATTTTTAACAGCCATAGAATTTCTCTACTCAAACCCATAGGAATTCACTACACTTTCCAGTATAAACTGTCTAAGGCTTTTCGTATGTGATACAAATTGGAATGGTACTGTTTCATCAGTCTGGTAAATGCTTCTGGATACATCTGGCTTTCTGAGCCTCTTATGCCATGACAGCATTAATCATGTTGGTGCTTCTCAATGTTACTGAAATGCAGATAATGCTCTAAGTGTGTTAACAGGCTTAGTAAATTTAGAACCAGGTAAATGAAACTTGAGTTTTTATGTTTGAGAGCACCATTGCCATGAAATGCTGACTTCCTCAATTGGAAATGCCGAATGTGATTGAGCTGTAGTTTGATGTTTGAGGTAATGTGCCAATAAAACTACCACAATGGAATTTTAAAGGGCAGTATAATAATAAAGATTAATGGTATAATTAATAAAGGGTTAAAAGAACAATGTGGACATTTACATTGAAATAAAAAGTCGCTTGCAAGCTGTAATTGTGCAAGTAACCTTAATAGTATAAACCCGAACTCATAAATGATCCATGTATAGTGTTACATTATTTGATGGCAGAGCCCCTAGCGGGAATTTCTAAGTATGTGGAGGTATAAGAATATTTC